GGTAAAGCGAGGAGAGTTCGCCATAGTTTTTTTGAACCGATTTATTTATTTTAAAATAAGAAATCCGTTGTCTTTTTTCACTTACTTTAATCATCAAAATGTTTCTAATCAATATTTAAACACTATTAGCCTCGTTTTAAAACCAATTAGTAATATAATGGAAAAAATCTATTTCAGAAATTTTAGGAAAGATTGCCACCAGCGAGGTGAGATTGCCATATCTATTAGGACAGACAGCCATACTAATTGCAAAGGTATTGGTGACAATTAAAACGAAAAAAAGCAATTAGAACAGTTTAATAGTATTAAAGATGCAAAAATACTAAAATGTCGACTAAATATCTGGCACGCATAAGTCACATGTGTAACTCTTCACTTTGGGTCCTACGTCAGCACATAGGGTGTGACTCCATTTTTTGCACTGGGAGCATTGTATCCACTTCTCACCTTTTTTCGATAACTTATATGGCTCAGCACAGAAGATACAAAACTCATCGTCGTCATCTTCACCACATGAAAAATCTTCTTGAGGTTCCGGATTGGGCTCAGGAAGAGAAACGTGCTTCTTCACCGTCCGTTGAGGAAGTTTCCTGCTTTTCAAAAGTGTGATATTTGCTGAACCAGTCAACTCAGTGGCGTGCAACTTTCTTTTAGTGCCTGCAGGCTTTATTTTTGGTAATGGTGAAATTTCTAAGATCAGTTCAGTTGGTGTTTCCTCGATTGAGGTTGACGGTGTTGGTTCCATAAAAGTTAATGAATCTGGATTTTCTTGTGTTGTGAGATTTGCCTGCTTTGATGTCGTGGGAACTGGCTCCGAAGATGCTGCAGAAAGTCGTGCTTTTGAAATTGGGAGAACAGATTCTGTTGACGTTGAAGGATCTGGTTCTGCTGGTGATGCCATAGTGCTTTTTGCAGTACATGGATTGGTTTGAGTTACAGGAGGCGGTTCTATGGAAGGTTCTCCAGATTTACTAAGGAAGGCGTATTCAGGGATTGCAAATGGATTAAAGGGATAGATACCACAAGCCTTGAATGCATTTGAAGCAATCTGATGTGTTGCTGTCTTTCCCCAAGCAGTATTTAATAAAGCTCCGAAAGTTAATCTATTTATATTACGACCTGGATTACTTTTGATATATAAATTTGCAGCGGAATAAAAGTAGCTCTTAAGAGCCTTGAATACACCTCGGTCAAGAGGTTGGAGATAGTGAGTCGTATGACTCGGTAAGCAGAGCAAAATGATGTCATTACTAATGCAAAATTCCAACGTCTCAACTGATGAACAGTGCGAAGAATGTCCATCCAATATCAAAATGACCTTGCCATTCGGTTTTTAAGAGCCTTGAATACACCTCGGTCAAGAGGTTGGAGATAGTGAGTCGTATGACTCGGTAAGCAGAGCAAAATGATGTCATTACTAATGCAAAATTCCAACGTCTCAACTGATGAACAGTGCGAAGAATGTCCATCCAATATCAAAATGACCTTGCCATTCGGTTTTTAAGAGCCTTGAATACACCTCGGTCAAGAGGTTGGAGATAGTGAGTCGTATGACTCGGTAAGCAGAGCAAAATGATGTCATTACTAATGCAAAATTCCAACGTCTCAACTGATGAACAGTGCGAAGAATGTCCATCCAATATCAAAATGACCTTGCCATTCGGTTTTTAAGAGCCTTGAATACACCTCGGTCAAGAGGTTGGAGATAGTGAGTCGTATGACTCGGTAAGCAGAGCAAAATGATGTCATTACTAATGCAAAATTCCAACGTCTCAACTGATGAACAGTGCGAAGAATGTCCATCCAATATCAAAATGACCTTGCCATTCGGTTTTCTTGGTGTGAAAATGTTCTTGAGCCAATAAAAAAAAATTTGGCTATTTACATAAGCCGATTTTTCGGACATCCTTACGGACGAACCGGGTGGCATTCCGTCTGCCCACTCTTTTTTTAAGTTTTTGCCCTTCATGATACAGAATGGCGGAATAAATGTGCCCTCAGCATTACAACATGCCAAAACTGTCACAGTTTCCCCTTTCTCCCCAGAAGTAATTGTTGATACAGCCTTCGAGCCTTTTTCTACAATAACTTTACCAGGCTTATTATTTAGTTGCAGCCCACTTTCGTCGGCGTTGAACACAGCTGAAGGTTTATCAAAAAGCGCGTGCTCCTTTAATATTGACTCAAGAAGGGCGAAGTACTTAGAGACCTCTTCTTGATTCATTCCTCGAGCTCGTGCTGAGCTTACTCCTTCCGCTGCTCTAATTGAGAGCTCAGGGTGGTCTCTCAAAAACCTGGCAAGCCATGGGTATCCGGCCATTCCTTTTTCTCTATTGAACTTGTGCTTCAGTCCTAATTTTTCAGCAAAATTAAAGGCAAGTTTGCGCACATCGTCTCTACCCATTGGAAACCCAGTGGCTTGCATAGCTTTAATATGCTTCACTAACCTTATTTCATTTGCCTTTCCAAAAAGACTGGGTGGCCCCATATGCTGTGGACCCTCACTGTTTCCTTTCTTGATTCTATACTCCAGCGTTTTACGGGGAATGGAATAACGAATTGCCGCTTTTCTGATCGACTTACAGGTCTCCACATATTCTATCGCCTTTTCTAAGTCCTCTTTAGTCCATTTTCCTCGTGTAGACTTTCGAGTATAAAAATTCGGCATCTTAAAAGATTATACATTAAATGTTAAAAACAACCCCAAAAATTCGTGTTTATATAAACACTTAAATAATTTTAAGCCTAGCAAAAACAAGAAAGTGGCCTTACCGCGCTCAGAAACTCGATATCTGCCGTTGTTGACACCACATAAACACACTGATGACTTAACAGTATGATCTTAACTGGTCATGAACAGGTTAAAATCGCGGGAAGTTTAAATTTTCTCCTAAGGCAATCTCTCCTATATGGCAATCTCTCCTCGATTTACCTACACCGTCCATTAAATCGGTTGTTGTAAAATCTAAACAAACGTTGGTAGGTGTAAAATCCAACTCCAGTAAAGCTTATTATAAAGAATATGAAAAGTTGTTTCCATGGATGAATAGGAAGTTACTTACGAATACAGTCTTAAATGCATCCATAATGCTGGCATATATGATGGAAATGTCAAAGGTATTTAAATCTTCTATATTTTGGTGCATTCATTCAAAACTTTAAAGCAATGCTGCGATTAAAAAGTGGAGCAGATTTGGAAGCATACCCTAAATTACGCGCATTTGTGAAAGCTTCAACCAAAGGATAGGTACAAAAGCCAAAGAAATGTTCTGCATTTACAGAAAGCGACCTAAGAGGATTTTTTATTTCATCCAGATGACAGTTTCAAAAGTCATACTTGAAGTATCGTTACTTAGCAACTTTAAAGCACGTGTGTTTTAAAGGCCCTTTTTCGCACGCATTTGAGTGTTTAAAACGGAGATTGTAGTTCAGGTATAATAAAAAAGAACATTGTTAATGTAACTTTGCCAAGTGGAAATGTTAAAATTGTCTATAACAAATACAAAAAAAATAAATACTTGAGCAGGGGAGTGGGACGAAGTTTTTGGGGAGGGTGAAAATCGTATGACGGCAATTTCCACCAAACGTTGAGATCAGTGTTCAATGGAAAAGTTGTAGATCGTGAAAAACTCTACAACTTTCTTTGCAGTCACTTTCTCACATAACAATAATAATAATAATAATAATAATAATATATATTTGACGGACAATATCCATTATAAAAATTACAAATAACTTAACCATACAATTTATGTTCCAGTTCTCTCCGGAACTTCGAAAATGGTACACTAAACATGTTAATATTAAGTCCGTTTGCATCTGAGCAAATCTTATCAACTGGTGTAAACATGGCGTAATTAGTTCTATGCATATTAATGTAAAATAATTTCTTGCTGCTAGTTCTTTTGATGGGTGCCAGAAAATTTAGACTGTGTAGTAGTTCACTAGCATGAACTTCTCCATTTAATAATTTAAACAAGAAGATCTGCTCAGATGCTTGTCGACGAAGATTTAATGGTTTGATGTTTACCATGATACCTCAAAGTAATCGAACAAATTGCGGAAAACCGTCTTTTTTGTTTTTTATTGTTCATTTCCGCAAAAATGATTTTCTTTTAACGAGACTTGGTTGAAATATACTATTTTTTGATCCAAATAACCACACATTTTTTCAATATAAAAAATTAAGAGGTTTCCGAAATATTCATTTTTTTTCGGCAACATTTTTTCCAATGGAAATTGCTTTTCAGATGTTTATCGTAGAGAGTTCTATTTGGAGTCATTTTCTTCGTGTATATCTAAACTTTTTGATGAATTTAAAAAAAAATTATAGGCCCTATTAAAGAAGAAGCTCCAAAAACGACTTCAGTAACGTTGAATTTTCTATTACATGTTGATAATTTGTTTAAATTTTGGAAATTTTTTCAAAAACTAATTTCAGTAGATATTCGATTCTACGGGAAAAAATACAAAAGAACCTATTATTTCTGTGTTTCAACAGGCACTTTCTTTCTTTATACTGATATCATAAACATTTATAGGTCTCATACTAGAGCTTCATATGAATATGAAAAATCACAATCTTTTTCAATGTTTTGCGCATTATGAAAATTTATTTGTAAAAAGGTAGCTTTTACTCTCACTTTGGCCGGCCGGCTGCCTGGCTGGCAGTAAATGCGCGCCCGTGGAACAACGCTTGTGGAAAGACGAGGAGTGTACGTGTACCTACCGGGGTGGTGTGGGCTCGGGTGTGGGGTAGGCGACAACTGGACGCCATCCCCGAGCGTGTTATACTGACGTGGTGATTTCAGTTTTTTCCTACCTTCCTCTACAGTTTTGGTCCGACTGTTTTCAAACTGGTGTCGTTGAAAAGATCTTGTAAACGCGCACACAGACTGTACTGAGGGGCGAAATAAATCACCTTTTGCAAAGTTCGCGCCTTCGAGGGGTAGTCGACTTCGGGCTGCCACAAGTTACCTTCCGCTGCGAATTTTGTCACGCGGTTTAAAGATTCGTAAAGTTCGAATCGCGGTCTCTCTTTCTCGTGTCGCCAATAGAAGCTATGAGAAGTGCCCCAAAAATTTAATGCTATTTTGTGGAGGGATTTTAGCGAAATTCACTAACTGGCGCATTTATATTACTGTGGGGGCGCCACAAGTGGGTACCAACAAAGAGAGTGTGGTAGCCCCCAACAAATTCTTCATAACTACAGTACTCTGATTAAACTCTTTCGTAAACGGGAAACATGCTGTTTTTTTAAACACGACGACTTCCACCTTTTAATACTGGTAGCACTCTACTAATTTCCTTCTAAACTTCACAATTAAACAAGATTGACGGTTTTGCAAAGCTCAAATACGGCTATGTTTGAATTTGAACGTTAAAAAAAACTCCATTCTGGTCTTCCACCAAAAAGAGCCACGATTAACATCCGGTTCGTTATTTAAAACCTTTTATACTTTTCATTTACTTCCTTCCTTTTTATCCACAACCGGAGAAAATGAGATAAACTTTTACAAATTCTACGCAAATAATTTTCAGATGTTTAAATCTAATTTTACAACCAAATAAACAAAATAAAAAGGCGATTATTTAAACAAAATTAACAACTAATAATTCTGAGACAAAACAAAATCGAGTTCGAAATCAAATGACATGCGTTCCATCTCAATCGTCTGACTTAGTTTACACAACAATAAAGTTGGTGTAAAACGGTTGAACGTGGCACAACGTTTTAACCTAATGTATTAATAACGGGTGGCAATTCAAAGGAACGGTAATTGTTAATGTGAAATTTTTGATCAATTACATACTACAATACATTTTTTTAAAAGCTCGACGCAAGTACGTCAATTTTATTTAATTCGTTGTTCAGTTCGATCTGTTAAAGGAGAAGAGTCAGGTGGGTGTGCAGATTTGTAGCGCTTCATTACTAAGGAATTTTCGCTCAGAGATGTCTAATTAAAAAGTTGTTTTGTGTAATGGGCTTCTTGAATTTTATTTGAATCGTGTGTTGCTAATGGCTACTCAGCCAAATTGCTTTTTTATCAGCAAAGTTGTGGAGTAGTTTTGATTTCTTTCAACAAATTTTTTGGTATCCTATCTCTGAATTTGATGTTTGTTCACAAAACTTTACCTGTCCCGTTTTAACGATGTGTCCGAGATTTAATGAATCCAGTGCCATTTTTTAAATGTAAATTTCACTATTCTGTCAACAGTAACCGAAGAAAGGGTACTAACATGTTACGTCATCGAAAAGAGAAAAAAACGAGCATGATAAAAAGGTACATTGCTATTTCAAAAGATTCAATTGTTTTTCGCTACTCATTTGTTTTCGGAAATAAAAACAATTGAATGCTGCCTTATTATGAAAAACTTACTGATAAGACGTTTTGCAGGGACACCTTAAAAAGCATTATGCGGGTCACTCGAGGGGTCACTCTGTATTCTGTAATTGGGCGTAAGCCTGTTGAGGGCCTAGAATTACAGTCGTTATTTATCCAAATATATACTATGAAGACCACCTGTAAAATAATCTTTACAAAAAATCATGAACAGGAAAGAAGGTTAAATTTACAGGAAGGAAACAATAGTCTAATAACCGTAATAACATTTCTGAGAGGGTTTTTAAAACCTTTCGAAACGATTTCTAAGACGATTTTTTAGCAAGTTTTTGAAGTGTGTGCTTTCTTAGCACCTTTTTTGATATTTCACATTTTGCAGTTTTCATTTTTAAAAGGGAAAAAGTGGGTGACGGGCTGATAACCCAGGTGGCTGTGTATTTGACTCGGGTGAAGCTACTCCCACTATTTCCTACATCAGACCAAATATGAACAAAAATCCAGCCATTTTTTGGGAAAACCTTTTGGGTAATCTACCATAAAATATTTATTTGCTACGAGCTAGGTGGCTACTGCAATCATCGTATTTTGAACATGTCAAAATTTCATCAATAATTGTCGTCGTTTTAGATCATTTTAAGCAAGACTGTCAAAAACCTTTTTTGTTTCATATCTGGGATGCATTTACCAAAATGTCTGGAATTTATCTTCCCAAACTCCCAAATTTTTTAAAGCGCTAATGGATTTACAATAATGCAAAGTTCAGTCACGTTTTCGGAATATGAATTTAGCCGACCTTCGTGTGGTCACTGCTAGTTTCTTTACTACCCACTTACTCCATTTCCCTCAATAATGTAGCGAGAAGCGAAAAAAGTGTATCGAAATTAGAATGTCAATCAGTAGTACGTGACGATTGTTTAAAAGGTACGCCATGCTAAAAAGTTACATTGGAAAACAATGCAAATTACAAGAAAAAAACGAAGTCATAAAATTATTATTAGGTAGTGGCTCGACCTTGCTCGTGTATCGGTATTTAATAATAAATGGACACGAGGATAGTTGACTAATGTAGATAATGTGGAAAATCACGTTTTTTTCAAAGGCCTGTAGAAATTGTACCCATTGACAAGTACAATAATCATTCATGTTCAAATGGTTCTCTTATCACTTCGTGTGTGCGCGCTGTTTATCGCGAACATTGACATTCATTTTGTTTAAGAAAGTGGAACAATGAAGATGAGTTTGTTTTATATTGCGGAACACGCCGCTCCTCAATTGTTATTTTATTTGTGCTGTATTTTTTAGTGTGGTGACTTGAAGAAGAGCTGAATAACATTAAGGTATTGCTCGTTTTATTTATTTGTTTATCGCATTCAAATGTTTAAACATTTATGATATCATCGCGCTTTCTTTGTTAATCGAATGCTAATACCATTTTTGTTAGGTACCAATAGTAGTTCTTGTTTTGCTAATTGAGTAAGTCGCAATTGCAAGTGCACCCTATACATATCCTCTGCGTAAAACGCAGCATTTCCGGCCCGACCCGGAAGTTGATACCAGTTCCGGTTTGCGGTTGGTTTGTTTGTGCGAAGATATTAACAGTTAATATTGTAGCGAAATTGAGTAAATGGCGTTTGGGTTCGATTTTGGTGAAATATGATGACAGCTATCTAAACCCCCTTTTGATTTTTGCGAGGATTTTTGCAAAAATACTAACTAGATATTTTATAAACATTTTTTTGTTATTTCATTGGCGCCTCTGGTTTCGTTATTATTGACTTTAGTGCAGCCAATTAATTATGTCATTACAAGCAAAACAATCATTATTTTTTTGACGCCACAATTTTTGAGTGAAGTCAAAAACATTTTTTTTTCTTATGGAATCCGTCCACGCGACGTCGGTAAAGGTTTGTTAACAACTACTGGTGTGTGACAGATAAATTTTGCATTGCATTTTGAATACAAAAAAAGAAAATAAAGTATCAGACTCAGGATCAGACTCTACTAAAATCTCAAAAACAGTTTGCCTCCTCCACAGTCCACATCTTAGCTCCCTCCACCGCAACCTATCAGCTTTTATTGGTAATGGCAATTTTTTAGGTGGCGAAAAGATCCATGGCTGGTTTTGTCACCAAGCTTATAGGTATAATGAAGCTCAGTTAGAGAGATAGCTAAGGTGAAATAAGCTTTCTCATTACAAGGGGGTGGAATGCTTAATTTCTGAAGCCAAAATTACAACTTCTTAAACTAGGGGAACAATGATTATTAATTGCCTTCGACTAGCTCAAATATGGCTAATAACAAATTTACCTGCTTCATATAGTTTGCTCATTGTAGTTTTCTCTCCTTTCCTTTCTGAAAATTACTTCAAATTTTTGATTTCTCCACCACTTGCCAGCAGAAGAAAACGCCATACAAATATATTGAAATCAATCAAAACTTTCCATTGGTTTTACAGGATTCTTTACAAACTTATTCGACTAAAACTTTTTACTAGAAAATAACTAATAGGGGCCAACAATACCTTCTAAATTTTAAGCAAAATGTTACTTTAAAGTAGTACATCTGATTTCCCGTCATTTTGTAATCAAACTTAGATGAAATGGAAGTTGAAAGTGTGCTCTATGCGATAGTGAACTTAAATGATACTGTCATTGGATTAGTTTTCAAGATTTGAAAATCGTCCAATTTAACCTGGACGGTTATGAATAAACTTTCCAGCCTGGAATATTATATTCCCGTCATTTCGGGATGAGACTACCCTCTAAAGATTCTTTGTTTCATTAGAAATCCGATGATATAACGCAAAGTACTTGTCATTGGATTAACTTTCGAAATATCTACGTCAAAACGGGTCAGATCGGTTGCAGTTTTTTTGGAACGGCAATTTTCGTAATCCTGAAAATTCGCCTACGAATATACAGTGTCCAAGACAGATTTTTAATGCGACGTTTCGTCTTTGAGAAGACATCTTCAACTTCATATTTTTGTATAGGTCGGAAAAAAGTACATACTGTAGAGTAGCATTTTTTTTATTACGAATACGGTTATGTATAGCGCAATATGATTCTTTATTAAGTATACCTACCATTTTTAAAGGAATATCGCTATTTTGACATTTTGTCAACGCCTACTGCACCAAAATTGCTGAATGCAATAGTAGTTCATTACACCACTCAATTAACACTTACCTTAGCTAGCTCAAATTACAAATTAGAACATGTAACTAACCCCCCCATCTCCCAACAAACTTTAATTTTAATAATTAAAGAAGTTTGAATCTCAGGGTCCAGCTGGGATCCGTAAGATCTGTAAGACAAACTGAATTAATTGAATTGAGACCGCCACGTTAGATCGGCGCCCATCCTTTTAGGTGTAGACCACCTTCATAATCATTTTTCATATTCGGTAACGGCCGACGAAATGTGAGCACTTATTAACATCACACTTCCTTGTTAAATTACAAAAACAATCAAAAGGTACTTAATTATTGAACCAAATTTTAAATTTATAGCAAAAGTAAAACTACAAATAAATAATAAATAAAATTCAGCAATTATGTGCCTATTTGTAACAAATTCTAGCAGATTTAGTGATCAAGCTTTGAGTAATGGTAAATACAGGGTGTCCCGATTACCATTCTGAAATACATGAAGAGCTTACCTACTAAATTTTATGACAGTTTTGGGGATCGACCAGTGGGATTTTTTTTGAATTTTAACATTCGAAATAAACACAAAATTTTGCACTCCCGTCTAAACATTGATTAAATAGTATATTAAGATACAAGTGTATAATCAAGTCTTTAAAGCACGCGCAACGAGTTTAAGGGCACGACGCAAAGCGGAGTGCCTTTAACGTTGCAAGTGCTTTAAAGATCAATTATACACGTGTATCTTATAGTATTTTTTATTATACCTGCAGTATAATTTAAAAATAGGAAATACAATGAAGTCATATTGACGTTATACTCGAATACATGTCTAATTAAGTGGGCTGGGTGTTCGTAATTTCACGATTGCCATGGAAATGTCACTTGACGTTTGCTTATAAAAATCATCGTCTTTGTGAATTAAACGATTTCCGTTGAAAAAGATAATACACCGTCCATTAAATCGATTGTTGTAAAATCTAAACAAACGTTGGTAGGTGTAAAATCCAACTCCAGTAAAGCCTATTATAAAGAATATGAAAAGTTGTTTCCATGGATGAATAGGAAGTTACTTACGAATACAGTCTTAAATGCATCCATAATGCTGGCATATATGAAGGAAATGTCAAAGGTATTTAAATCTTCTATATATTTTGGTGCATTCATTCAAAACTTTAAAGCAATGCTGCGATTAAAAAGTGGAACAGATTTGGAAGCATACCCTAAATTACGCGCGTTTGTGAAAGCTTCAACCAAAGGATAGGTACAAAAGCCAAAGAAATGTTCTGCATTTACAGAAAGCGACCTAAGAGGATTTTTTATTTCATCCAGATGACAGTTTCAAAAGTCATACTTGAAGTATCGTTACTTAGCAACTTTAAAGCACGTGTGTTTTAAAGGCCTTTTTTCGCACGCATTTGAGTGTTTAAAACGGAGATTGTGATTCAGGTATAATAAAAAATGTGTTTTTATTTAATGCGTCTAAGGCTGTACCGTCCTGAGGTAGAAATTTTGGTTTTTTCATTTTAAAGTATCAAGGCCCATTTTTCCATCTATCATGGTTCCCGGAAAAAACTACCAAATGCCAGTTTTCGCCCACTATTACCATATTTGGTTGTTCCTCTGAGACGATTTGCACCTGCAAAAGAACTTCGTTATTCAAATGTGCGCACAGTGTCCCTTGCGCACTCCTGTAGACATAGCATGCTAAAAACATTCCTTTTACTAGCAATTAATTCCCGAGCTCCACTCATTGGAAAAGAAAAGCTTGAACTCAAGGCGAACCTGAAAAAAAATTTGAGTTTTTCTAATTTTCGAAAGCTGGGATCAAATGAGGTACTTTGTCCTTTCTCTCCCTGATCCCCAATGTTGTTCATAAGTCATTTTGGGGCTCTCTTCGAAAAATATTCACGGAAGTGCTTAGTTTCTCGCTAAACAGTTCGTGGGGTCTGCTCGTATACCGTATATTTTAATAATCACCTACAAAACCACAGTTTCCATAAGCAAAAAAATGTTTCTGTTTCAAAAATTTTAGCTTATAAAATAGGTGCTCTGGTGCTCCTTTTAACCTCACAATTATCTACAACTTTTTTGAATCGAGTTGTTAAGCGAGATGTTTATGTTTTCTCCCAATTGCTCGCTCGATGGCTGGCTTCACAGTGCCTTTTTAGCGCATATTTGCAAATTTATTTGTAAAAACTTCAAATGTGAATTGCGCGTGATGGGACGTCAGAAGTGGGTACCGACAAAGAGAATATGGTAGCCCTCGACAAGATGTTACTGATGGTAGAGTCAAACCTGGCTAATGCTCGTATAGAATATTGATATGTCAAAATGGGTTGAAGTGCCTGCGATCTCGCAAGAGGTCTATAGTGAGAGGGGTCAGTTTCCGGACTTAATTGTAATTTTTTTGTCGTACTTCTACCGCTCAGTTCAGCTGATTGACATAATTAAGAAACTTGACTGGATAATTTTTAAATTGTAACCAATCAGAGCTCCTCATTCAGTCAATCGGTCAAGATCTAAATCCCCCGTCGGATTCAGATGCTTTTTCCTTTTTCTTATCCCCTCAAACGGTTTCTGCAGTTTCTTCAGTCGCTTATTTTTTTGTAAAATAACAGGCATATGAAAAAGGACACATTTCTCTGACTTTTCAAGTAGATCTCCATCTCTTATCACTTTAACTTTAATGTTCATAACAAGTTAATGCGAGTAGTGGCTTTTGAGCAGGACCCCCAAAAACTTCTAATCGAATGTCTGGAACTTTGTGAAAACGCAAAGTGATTTCGGAAACTATAACGCAGTTAATTCGTAATTTATCAATGTCAGTATAGAATATTTTGTAAATATGTACTAAAATTGAAAAGTTCGAGGAGATACTTAGCTACTATGGAACCCTACAGCTCCCTTGGGGGATCACTTTTCTAATTGGATTTATTTCTCCATTGTTTGGTAACTGAACCCTAGTTTCTTTCAGTTATCAAATTAATCGGATATTGAACCTCGTTGTTTTCGGCGTCTTTATTTATAAATCGTGTCTGAGACGGTTTACTTTTAAGTTGAATGACAGATACGCTTAAAATGAAAAGAAAGTTCGTATTGATTGAAGCCGCCTGTTCGACTGTTATTAAATGGAATATTTTTGTTGCAGGAATTCGTCATCGTCGTCCAACGCGTTCTCGAAAATGTGATATTCTGAACTCCACAAAAGCCAAAATGTCTCAGCTGCAAAGCACTCGGGCCGAACGGATGGCCCACTACAAGGAGGAGCGTCGCAAGCAATTGGCGTCGCAGTTCGGTACGACGCCAAGCGAGTCTCAGCCGTCGGCGAAGAAACGTCCTATTCACAAAGACGTCTCGAGCAGCTCGGAGGAGCCCCGTACGACGCGAGCTTCCAGATTGCGTGCGGCTGCCGCCTCTCAAGAGGAGGTTTGTGCTTTTAACAGTTATCGATGGCGACTAACCACTTTGCAAATAAAGCAAGGTCGTCTTATAGATCGTGCCCGATATACAGAACCATATTTAGCGTTGCAAGTTACACTGGCATGAATCACCTGTTGTGTAGGGTGCAGCGGACCGTGATGGTCATCGCACTTCACCCATGTACTATAATAACACCCAGTACCTCTTTCTTCACTACCAGTATAAAAGAAACCGTATGCATTATACCAGTAATTCGAGTCCATTGCTCCCATATGTATAGATGGATCATAGTGTGCCTATTGTTGCGGTTAAGGTAATAAGCTATGCGCTCACGTTGACTATTTTCGCGAGCAGTTCTAATTTGCATAAAAAGGCCGTTGAAACTGAACTGTAACAGTTTTATTTTGGTAAATGTCAACAAAGTTCACTTTTCGGAAATTGATACCGAGACGCCTCCCCTACCCGGAATAAATTCAAGAATCTTATCAAAATGAAGAGCTGGTTAGAATCCAAAATTTCTTATGAGGTGCCCGAGTATTCTTGGATTCAACCCTCCCCGCCCCTCCCGTTCTTACTTGATTTCTAAGCTCAACTTGTCAATTGGGACGTGGACCATCCTCTACAGAAAATCTGCCAACAGTATTGCGAAATTAAGGAAACTTACTGAAAAACAAGATCATATAATTTAGTTGCAGAATCGTAATTTAATAATTTTGCAAGAAGAAGTGTGCAGCAATTCAGTAGAAAAAAATGTCTTTTGGATAAACATATTTATATATGTACTTTCTTAAACAATTATGTACGGGAAAAGTAATTACGAAAGCGAAATCGGCCAATAAATCATTGGTAAGTAGATAAAAGGCCCTAACTAGGCCGTAATTCTTGGAAATTTATTTGAAATGAGTATACAAAGGGCTGGCCCAACAATTAATACACAGGGTGGACATTTTGTCTGGAACATTTATCATATATCTTAGAAGCGACATTTTTTTTAAATAAACTTTTTATGGTACCCAAAAATATAAAAAAATTGCTATCAATCTAGGTAGTTTAAATTTGTGGTCAATGGCGTACTTCTGCGTGGTCAAGGGGGGCATATTTTTTTAATGGAAACTACTAGTTTTTACATATTATTAAAGAGTACACTTTTTTGGGTTGTAGCAGCTTAAAAAAATTTATCTAATTTCAAAGAAAAGGAAAATAGTTTTTAATTAATTACATAATTTTACTCGTTTGATCATGTTTTTATGTTGTCATATTAAACAAAAGGTTCATTCTTCACGAAACATAATGCTTTCCATTAAAAAAGTGACCCTTTTAGTTCTGTAGACGCACGCCATTGTAAATAGTTTGTAACCATATACAGTGTGTCCTAGATCCCGTCTGTAACTTAGGGTAAATAGATTTTGTTTTGTTTTGGTTTTTAATTCATCGCATACTACTTGATTAAAATATAAAAACCGTTGATATAACTGGTATCTTATTGTCAATCTTATCCTATGAAAAGTTGAAATGAGAAATAAAAAATCTATCGAGTAATCTAAAAATCCAATATATTTATATAAAACTTTTTTTATACTTTATACTTTCAAGGAAATGACAAATTTTATTTTTTTTTAATTTACGTCAAACCTATTCAACATTTTGAATTTCCACAAGGAAATTTTAAATAAGCATCTAACACTGCAAAACATTGTCCATTTAACCAATTCTTTATCTTTAATAATAAGAAAGTTACCCATGCAATCCCACACGATCTGGGACATACTGTAGATTTACTTATACATTTTTAATGGTATACAATAAATTACTTTGACATAATTAACAAAAGAATAACCTATTTTTTGCAATCTAGTGAAATTATAGAATTAATTAACACAATTTTCCTTAATGTGAGTTTTTCTCTTAAATTTGATTATGCAATACTGGGTCCTGCAACAGTGCAACCTTTTGGGCAAATCTCAACGATAGAAAGTATTCTGAAATACACAGGCTGTCCCATTTTGCCGGTGTCAATAGGCAACTGATTTTTTTTAATAGATTCACTTTTTGGTTTTTTGTCAATGTTACCAAATTATTAATTTTTTTCTCTATAATTCCCCATAAGCAAGCTCCACTTTGATAATTCGTATGAGCTAGGAAAGACCGACGCACTGTTGGAGCACCCTGTATAATAAGTTTCTTATATTGCTCTATCCAAAAAAGTGTATTTTGAATATCAAAAACTAGTAGTTGCCATTTAAAAGATATTACCCCCCTTCACCATGCAAAAGTACGCCACTGATCACAAATTTAACGTACGTAAACTGGTGTCATACTTTTAATAATTTTGGATACTATAAGAAGTTTCTTTAAAAGAATGTTGTTTTGAAGATATATCCAGTGTTCCAGACAAAATGTTCACCATGTATATTTTATCTTAAAAACTCGAGTTCAAAAACACAATCGCATGCAAATAATAGTTATTATGATTTATGCGTATATTATTTTTTAAATTGCCAAGGTAATTCAAAAGGAACTACGTTCACATAGACTTGCCAGTAATTAAAAAAATTCTGAAAACTCTTTTTGCGATGCGTTCCCGTATACAGGATGAAAAAATTATTTTAATTTTAATTGCCCATACAAATTAGAGCTTTGGATAGCCGAAATTACAACATTTCGCTGATACAAAAATAAACCTACATTGCCTAAGAAAGTTTCAGACAAAAAAATCATTTGTAGAAAAACGTTCTTTTCCGAATCCAAGTGTGCCATGATGACAAATATTTTTGACCGGTTCCACCTTTAAATAATCACTTTGCTTTTAATTAGCATGTAAATAATTGTTGTTCTTAATTATAATGTGGATGCTATTTAAATTAGGTTTTTAGGTATGACCTTTTAGTAATGTTTCTAAAAATGTTGCGAAAATTGACACTACATTTGGTATCTTTGAAAATATCGTTTGAAAGATAAGAAAATGCAATAGTTGGCACGAGAATGAAAAAGATTTCTAACAATTTTGAAACCCAAAAAACACCTCATAAAAATACTCCACTCTAATACTCAGCGGATTGGTAGAAACACGTTATAAAAGTACTGCCTTTGGTCCATATTCCATTTGTGCATTCCCGTGTGATGTTATCAATGACCACCCAGCAACAACATTTTGCATATTTCTAGTGAAGTTAGCAATAAAGATGCAGAACGAAATATGCAAAAATATGCATATGAATCGAAACATTCAATTTAGAGGTATTTGCCCACCAATTATATTAATTTGTTGCGATTAATATTAGATCTTATTTTATATCATCCCTATAATAATTTTTGAACTTTGTCGGCCGTAGGGAGTACGGGTATACTCGACTTCTTTTTGATGACGCCAGCATATATTCAAATATTGTTACGCGATTTTGATGATTAAATACACACAATTTTCTTTGAAAAAGTCGTATTTTTGACTCAAGATTTTAATGTTCAAAATTCCTCGAACATCAATTTTCTTCAGATCAGAATGTTTCTCTCCTACGTCTAGGGATAAGAATGTTGGAAATAATTCTACAAATTAAAAAAAATGAAGGAAGAAACCGAATTTTTGGGACTTTTGGGTGCGTAGCTCCAAAAGCCCCCAAAGGGGTACATTTGTTGCTTTAAAATACGGCTGTGTCGCAAAAATTCGACAATTCTTTATCTGGCTATCTATCTATAAAAAAATTTGACGGGGTAAATTACTAACGTAATTTTTTTACTTGTTAAACGAAAAATCAATGTTTTCTCGATTGTTGAATTGCATTTTACAATGTGGCGCACTGAAAACCGGTACAGGGTGCTCCGAAATTAAAGTTCAAGTTCTCAATTTTGAAAACCTCCCCTTTTTTCTGTTAACCAATGTATTCTACACAGGAAAATGAGGACAGTTTCTCATCCCTACATCTAAAGCGATTTTCTACAATCGCTTGGAACAAAAACCAAATGTATGCCGCAGTTATAAAATGTTTAATTAATAACAAATGCAACGTCGACGCCTGTTATACAGGCAGCTTATTGTACATAGTTGCGTGTGAAATTTCCTCGTGTACATTCTTCGAATATAAATTTTTATGTACCATTACGGAGCATTTCCTTATACACGAGAAGGATCGTTTGATGTTTATTGCGGAGGAAACTACCCGTTTTTACCTTAATAAGCAAGCGCTTCCGTTACATTTCTACTTTCCCTTTTCATGGTTCTTTGGGTAATAAAAGGAGCATTACTGTCGCACGTGTTTGACACAATTTTCATCCCCCTTCGTTTTTTTTGTGTGCGGCAAAATTATGTAAGCTACTGTTTGTTGCAGAAACCTTCCCAGCACATGTCAAATGGAATTGATGCTCAACGTAGTCTTAAAATAGAACGCGATAAAAGCGGTAAACGTAAGTCGAATCTAAATCGAGCGTTAAATTCCGAAGAAGTTCCTCAACCAGATTCAACAGGTATGTTTACTTCAATATTGCAATGTTTTTATACACAGTATAGGCAAAAAGTTACTTAGTTTCCTGTAAAGGCTTTATGAAAATTCGTGTTGCAAAAATAGTACGATATGGAAGATGAAATCATCCCTTATTAAATATTGCAGCTTTTTTAAGAAGCCCTATAAAATTTATATAAAAGCTGTCTAGAAAATATACACCCATCCACCAGACAGTGTACTCACTTTATGCATGGCTTGCATCAATATTTTAATAGTATAGTGCTCTATTTTTGTCCCTTCCGGGCATTCTGGGCTTCTTTATCTATAGGTAGATGTCGTAAAGTAAAGAATTTTTATTACGTTCCATCGATTATTGGGGTGGGTAAGGTTAGTCAAAACGCATTGATTTTATTTTCTTCACGTAATTATAATTAGCAGAACGTGAGAGATTTGCTTATTTTCTATTGGTGATGTTTGAAATTAAAACAATTTGTATAGGTACATCAAAGTCAAACTAAGTTGTGTATGACTCATCGGATAAAGGCAGGGCCGGATTAACTGTGTATGCGCCCCTAGGCAAAACTCTACTGGCGCCCCCCCTCCCCCTCTTTTCCTAGTAAGAACACAGAAAATATTTTTGCGTGATTTTTTACAAGAGAATTCTTTTATAACGTCACTAAAATCCAGCCTGTTCGTCAAATCACTATTAATAGAAAGAACTGCCAAATTTGAAATGCTCTGAGCATTAATTGAATTTCTGAGATGTGTTTTTGTCCTTTTTAAAGTCGAAAAAGATCGTTCGCCTGTAGCATTGGTTATAAATAAACTTAAAAAATTCTTGCTGCAATTTCGATGTTGGGAAACATTGTTATTACATTTTTCTCTCTTATAAAAGTTAATATTTTCCACATTTTCTAAATGCTCAATGAAATACTTGAATTGAACGCATTCTTCAGAAAACGTTTCATATAAATCTTCAAAGTATACAGATTTTAAATGTTCTGCACATTTCCGAATTTCCACATCATCTTGTAATAGTGATACGTGACTGCTGGTGATAGAAAATTATCGCGTACACGTTTGGTGCGTGGTGCCGGTGCCCGGGCGCGGCGCCCCATTGATCCGTGCGCCCCTAGGCAATTGCCTAGTTTGCCTAGTGGATAATCCGGCCCTGGATAAAGGCGCCTTTATCACATATTGACATGAAGGGTTCCGGGTATTAAAATTCTGTATAGAGAAGATGCGTCTTTTAATTAAAGTTAAGGGGAATTCACACAACTTACTTTAAATTGAAACTTAAATTGCAAAAATAATCGTAATGCGGGAATGCTGGATTTAAACAAAAATTCATAAATTTAATGTTGAGCAAATGCACAAATTGCGTTGATAAACGACGTACGTTTCTCCTCCTTTTTCGGAAACCAACCCCTACGTAACGGTTGTTCGCCTAAAATGATCATAAACTCAAAATTTAGGTATTGTTTAAAGCTTCAATTCAGAATTTAAACTCTGCATTTTTATTGTTTATTTTATGGTTTCCGAGATCACCATGACAAGACGTCATATTATCATGGATGTTTTAAAAATAAAAATAAAACTTATCTCATTGACATTTTTTTAGAAGAATAATAACAAAAAGCTCCAAATCTATGTATATCTTAACGTCAATTTTTTGCTTTCTTTTTCCTGATTACATTGTTGTACCACAACCTTTTTTTTTAATTTTAGCCATGGATTTATGAAGATTTTGTTTTGTTTATTGCATCCATGGTAACTAAGGCCAGTCAAACTGGAAACAAGAAACTGTTCTTCAGGAAGATTTCCTGGATGTGCGCTTTATAGGATAGGATGATAGGAGTTAAATAAATTGTATGCTCTTTGTAGGACTGAATTACTGCAGTCATTGTTGATATTGGTGAAAAAATATCTTCACGGTAGACGGGTTCTCTGCAGGGACGGACTGGGTACTTACGGGCCAGGTGGAATTGCATAGGTTACGGGCCATTAAAGTATTAGTGTGTGTATGGGGGGGGGGCCTCTGAAAGGTGCACCACACCAAACATTTTTTGCTTCATTTTAGTACTCCTTTTTCGGAAATCAATTACAATACAGTTTTTTTTTAAATTGCAGCTGATAATTAAAAGTAACAAAATATACAATCCAAACGAGACGCGTCGCCTATCATTGTATTTCAGAACTTTCATACTACGACAAAAAATGGTAAATTCATTGTAAAACACTTCAATTAAAACAGAATTTTTTAATTTTTTAACAACCTAACATCAACCCCAATTAGAGAAACGTGTCAATAACTTATTAATAGTGCAAGAAACTAAATACAGCACATACTTATAAATTTCCAACGGGCCATTATGACGTACAGGCCAGGTGGCAATCGCCACCCGCCTCCCCGGACCAGTCCGCCCCTGTTTCTAGTCCATAACTTTTGATTGAGACGCCCGATCGAAAAAGTACGAATTGTTTTGGATTCTACGCACCAAAATTAATAAGAAAAAGTGTTTTCCCGAGAATTTTCATGCAGTCGATTTTTGGTAAAAAAGGAAGGTTATACACTGCCTTTTTTGAGCTCCGAAAAAAAAATTGTCTCAGATCGACCCGGAAAAAAATTTTTTTTATAGAATGTGGCCTGTAGAATCCATAATTTCAAACAGTTCCAAGATTGGGCTACTAGTTCAAAAGTTACAGCCCTTTGAATTTTCCTTCGAAATTGGTTTCTAGTCAGGGGCGGGCCAGGTGGAATTGCATAGGTTACGGGCCATTAAAGTATTAGTGTAGTAATGAAGGTTGCGGTGGGGGGGGGGGAGCTCTGCGTTGTACCACAAAAACATTTTTTGCTTCATTTTAAGGTACTCCTTTTTCGGAAATCAATTACAATACAGTTTTTTTTAATTGCAGCTGATAATTAAAAGTAACAAACTATACAATCCAAACGAGGCGCGTCGCCTATCATTGTATTTCAGCACTTTCATGCTACGCTAAAAAATGATAAATTCATTGTAAAACACTTCAATTAAAACAGAATTTTTTAATTTTTTAACAACCTAACATCAACCCCAATTAGAGAAACGTGTCAATAACTTATTAATAGTGCAAGAAACTAAATACAGCACATACTTATAAATTTCCAACGGGCCATTATGACGTACAGGCCAGGTGGCAATCGCCACCCGCCTCCCCGGACCAGTCCGCCCCTGGTTCTCTGGATCTATTTATACATTGATTTATAGATAGCTTTGATAAATGAATCAAGGCAATTTTCTCCCGGTTGTCTTCAAAAACTGCACTATTTTTCCGTATTTGTCCAGAATCTTTGCAATCCCGGTCTTTTCATCCTAATTGGTTACTAAGGTAATTAGAAGATAAAATTAATTTTTGAATTAGTA